TCATCTGGGAACCTACAGAGGCAGAAACTCTGGGGTTGGGCCCAGGAGTCTGTGCTGTACAAAGCCCTTCCAGATAATTCACAAGCAGCTAAAGGGTGACAAATACTGCTCTAGTAGGCACAAAACTCAATGCTTGACATCTTTATTCTGAATTCAAAATCTCTAGTAACCTGACAAGAAGAGATTTGGGCCGACTGAGGTTCACCATGCTGTCATTTAGAACTGGACCATCATTCAAAACAGATATGATGGTCTCACATTTAATCAAGGCAGTGACTTTCCCAGAAAAAGGTCACGATTAATGTTTAATGAAAGGTGAATGGACCAGTATGTTCACATCCGTGATTTAAAAAAAAAAACAGCCTGAAGGTAAATGGTAGTCCTATCTACTCAAACAAATTGCAAACATTTTCAGAGTATAAGTACAATTTACCATAAATAAAACAATTCATCTCCACATTAACACATGGTGGCAGCATACATTTTATTTATGTGCATTTTAAAATCTTCTATTCTGAACTTTTCCTTTTTAATCATTATATACATATACCAGGTTCTAAAAACTGGCATAAAACTGCCTCCAAATCTGCACACAATATACATTATGTTCAGTCCAGAAGTGAAAACATATTCTAGGAATGCATTCACAATTATAATTTCTGCCTCAGGTTTAACAAGTATTTGTTAAACTTCAGTGCAAAGCATTTGGTCCTGTGGGAGTCACAAAGATGAAACAGGCAAGGTAAGGTCTGTGGCCCAGGAGGGTCAACTCAGGGAAAGAAGAAACCATGACCCTCACTTCCAAAAACCTGTGAGCTGCCTCCTAACCGGAGTTCCTGGCTCTAAATTCTTATGGCTGGAAAGGATCTCAAGATCCCAAGATTTCTTTCCTTCTTCATTTGGACAGGTTAAGCATCCCTAATTGGAAAATCCAGAATCTGAAATGATCTGAAATCTGAAACTTTTTGAGTGACAATATGACAGACAAAAATCTTTGGGTTAGTTTTGGATTCAAGAGCATTTCAGATGTTGGATTTTCTAACTAACCATGCTTCAACCAGTAAAGTCTACACAACTATTCCAAAATCCAAACATCTCCAAAATTTGAAACAATTCTTGTCTCAAGCATTTTAGACAAGGAATATTCTTATCCTGTGTGTGATGCCAAAATCAGGGTACCCTCAAGAGTGGACATAGACAGAAGCAGCAAAAGAACACTGCAGAGGTATCTTGAAAGGAAATGGAAAGCTACGGAGGCAGGAGAAGGAGAATCAAGGCTTTCTTTTCCTATATTGGAAGTATTGCTCTTAGATCTGACTAGGGTTAGGATGCTCACATCTGTACTCACTGAGGTATGTATGATCCAATAGTAGCTGATTTGGGCTCAGCCAGCCACAAGGTATTTTGTTGCTGTAATTAGCGCTGTTGCCAAAGGTGAGTTTATTATCTGGAAGGATGAACTTATTAGCAGGAAGAATGAGTTTATTAGCAAGAAGGACAGAGAGAAGCAAGGGACCCTCCTTGCACTATGGGACCTTTTCTCATTAAGGGGTCTGTCAACAGGCAACCAGGTGAATTGAAGGCAGTTGGTGTTCACACCAATCAATTTTGCTACTTGTTAGCAGCTCTGATAAAAGAGGGAAAATAGAAAAGTAAAAAAAGCCTCTGGGGAGATAGGTTTAAAGTCAGGTTTTGTTTGTTCCTGCTAGATTTCTCTAATCCTTGTTCTACTCTCCTTAGCTCGCATCATGGAAAATTCCAAGATTTTTGTAGAAGAGTTCACAATATTACTTTTGTGAATATTACCCTCACTTTTCCCTTTCCTACTTAAGCAGTTTGAAATATGGGCCACAAAAACCACAACTGGAAGTCCAATGAACAACCAGCAGAGTACACGCAGACATTTCATCTGTGCTCTTTCTCACATAAACCACCTTTCAGGGAAAGAAGTTTGGAATCAAAGGGAAACTGGGGATTAGAATAAATTAAAAGCTAAGCTCCAAGCCAGAACTTAAACACAGACCTCTATGTCACCCTTGTTTTCAACATGAACAAGCAGCAAACCCACTAGTAACTATGAGAACTCTTACAAATTTATAAAAGGGAATTTAAAAACAAGATCATTAAGCCCCCCGCCCCCGCAAATGCTTAAAGACTTACTAAAACTTTCTAGAATGATCTACTTTTTATCTACTTGAGTGTGATCAGATGACCATAATATAATGCAAAAATTCAAGTATAGCTCATTTTATTTTGGCCATCTGGACCCCCAGCCTATGAGGATTGTGTTGACTACACTAAGGGCAGACCTTTTCCCATTAGTTAACCCTCTCCTGAGTTGCCTGCACAAGCATACCCAGAGGTGTGCTTCACTAACCTCATAAGCACTTCTCAATCCAATCAAGTTAATCGTCATGGGCTGGGCGTGGTGGCTGATGCCTATAATCCCAGCTACTGGGGAGGCAGAAATAAGGGGATCTTGGTTTAAGACCAGTCAAGGCAAAGTTAGAGCAAGACCCTATCTGAAAAACAAACTAAAAGCAAAATAGTTGGAAGCATGGTTCAAATGGCAGAGTACTTGCCTACCAACAAAAGGCCTTGAATTCAATCCACAACAAGAAAAGATTAACTATCACAATCACAAATATATATTGAAGGTAAAAAAAGTTTTCTCAATGTTAAAGCATTAATATATTTCAGCCTTAAGCCATACTTCTCAAGATTTAACGTGTATTCATTGAAAATTAACAATCCCTCTCTATACCTTCCTCCCATCTCCCTTCCCTTTCTTCTTTTCTTCCTCTAATACAGGGATAGCATCTTCTATCTTCCTTGCACTGTAATGACTACAAACTTATTCCTTCTGATTACAACAAAAATATCAAGATGAGGATATACAGATACAAGATGTTTTTGATGACAAAAATATTTTCAAAGTCAATCAAAAAAGCTCATGAGATTCCTTAAGAAATCACATTTCCTACATTTCCAGTCTATTTGCTTCACTCTTATAAAACAGAATTACTTGTTCAAATTTCCCCCAAATTTTGAAGTTTTACCCAGATTTTGAAATCTGTTAATAAGCTTGAGAGAACTAAGGTATAAGCCTTCAAGAGCATTATGAGCCATTTGACCCACCATATTTAGAGATGGCAGAATGGCAATGTAAAGTCACCCCACACTGCTCTCTTAGTGACACAGACCATTTAAGTGGTGTGATCAATGATTTAACCAAATGCATTTTTTCTAGTACTTTAGAAAAACAATCCTTACCTGGTTCAGAGAAGAAAGTCCATAAAAATAAGAAGAAAAATTAATGATAATTGGAAAGTGTTTCCTAGTCATGAATGCGTTACTCAACCAGATAGATTTCCTAGGGTTCCTAGGGTTCTAACAACATCAAAATGCCACAAAAGTGATAAAACAATCCAAGGGCAAAGAACTAATTGACTCCATAGAGATACACCAGACAAGGAAGGACTAGGTTTCCAACTAGAGTATAAATCCTCAGGTATGAAAAACTGTAACAAGAGTCACTTCTTCAATCTAAACCAAACTCTTAAAGCAGACTTTAGGGATTGTCTTGCAAAGTAACGTGGCATTGATTGACAGGTTTTCCTGTGGGAAGTTCTTGCAATCCAAGAAAACAATCTGTGTGAGTGCCACTAAGTATAGGAGAGCATGTGTTGGCACTCCCCAGGTAAGAGCAGAAGGTGACCTACAGACTCTGTTCTCCAGAGGGTAAGACTGGAGACAATTAATCCATATCCAAACCCATTTTCCAGAATCTGCTGGCCCTACCTTCTTCCCAGCTGCCCTCAACTATGATCTACACTGAGGCTTCAAACTTCAGAGGCCATAACCTTTTTTCCTCTTCCTGACCCCCTCAAACACGCTCTTGGAAATTCTAGCCAATTATCCAAGCCTTAATGATCAAATCATTTAAAAAATAGTTGTTTCTTAAGTCATGTGTCAGTTAAACACAAAGTTGTCCAAAAAATGAACAAATACCACAGATAGTGTTTTTCAACCTTTATTTTTTCATTATCACCTCCTCTAAGGTGACATTTTTTTTCTAATCACATGCTTCATGAAAATCGTCTACCACAGATGTCTTATATACTTACGTATCTAATGCATGTTTATCTATGCTTTATGCATTAAAAGAGTAAGATTTTTTTCACCTACCAAGAATCAAGTTTCACCCCCGTAAGGGAGATGTAATCTCTTTTAAGAATGCATGATTCTGAAGCACACAATAATGGAAACCATTTTGCCAAAAGTGTTTATTGCCTTTCTAATATTTAGTGGAATATGAATGATCAAGAACACTATCTTTCCTTTAGATCAGTCATCTGCGTTGAAGAGGTTCAGAGTAGCAAAGCCTTTATCTCCTGAGATTGCAGGTGCCACACTCACTTCTTACAGTCCCTACAGCTTCTTTCCTTGTCTTCCACTAGGGTATGCAGAATTAGTAGTTATTATCTACAAATTAATACCAACCTCACTTATTGTTAGTGCTTTTTAGTTATAAATGGTGTTGGTCCATTTTCTTTGTCATTAACACAACACAACAGACTAAGTGAGTTATAAAGAATATATTCTGGCTCATAGTTCTGGGGAGCTCAAAGCTAAGGGGTTACATCTGGAGATGGCCTTCTTGTGGGCAGAGTCCCACAGCAGCACAGGGCATCACATGACAAGAGGCAGGAAGCATGCGTGTCTCTGGTCTCCGTCCCTTTTCTTATAAATGCACCAGAATTCAATCCTGGGGCTCTACCCTGATGAATTTATCTCATTCTAATCATCTCCTAAAGGCCCCTCCTCTAAATACTGTAGTTGGATTGAGTTTCTGTCCTCGTATTACTCACAATGAGGATTAAACTTTCACACATGAACTTTGGAGGACACCAAAACCATATCCAAACCATATCGTGTACTAAAATACAACCAGTTAAAACAAGATAAATGGACTCTAGAAACTAGATGAATGGACTCACCTCCTGTCGTTTGAAGTTCTGCACATATTCTTCAAACTGTTCATCTTTTGTTTCATCAGCTTTCCCCAGCTTCTGGAGGACCTAGTTTGTGAATAAAACAAAATGGTTTGATTTAATGTCTTCAGATGAAGATGTGGCTTTTCAATATAGACAGAAGAAGGCTGATGCTTTGCTCTGAGCAGTCTGAGAACAGTCCACCCTCAGCACTAACTTTTCTGTTCTCAGAGCCTCCTGGATTGGTGGCTTTTTGCTGACTGGACCTGGATTTCAGTCACAGACCCATCCATTACCCATGGGTTATGTGTTTTTGAGTAAGGACCATGCTACATTGTATTCATTTATATATATCTATTTTCTACAGGAGGCTCTGCATGACTTAAAGACTGAAGCTATCCCTTACTTATCTTTTAGTCCAAAGCAGAGAGCACAATGTTTGATACAGAACAAATACTAAATTGTGTGTTAAACAATAAACCAAAGCTATTTGACTCAAGTATTTACCTGCTTCCTACTTCTCCTCAAGTGTCTTCTGATACTTTCCTTTGATTCAATAAATAGTCAAAGAGGCTGTGGTATACACATGGCCTCATACTAACCATTGACAATCCAGAAATACAAAGAGGAATACACACGGCTTAGCACTTATTCTTAGAAATTTATACCAAGTGAAATAGACCAGGCAAATCCATAAATAACAAATCTAAGATAATGGGTTATAAGCAATGAAGGTGGTTACAAAGTCTTCTGAGCAATATCTCTTAGAGCTGAAGTCTTCACAGAAAGCATTGCAGAGGTTATTTACATAATTGCTATCAAAAATTCCAAGAGGCAGGAGTGCGGCAGAGTTCATTCCATCCAAGGAGGTGGCCTAAGCAAAGACCACAGGAAAACTCATCCTGTGTCGTGGGATGGGGTATGAAAAGTTCTGTTTGCCTAAAGCACAGGATGTGCTACCAAGAGACACTTTTCTTAGAAACAGGCAGAAAGTCACTTGGGGATAGAGTAGAAGGATCCTGAGAACCATGATTTGGGTTCACTATTCACCATTCAACATTCTCTATTCTTGTATATAATACACCAATTTACCCAAGAAAACGAAAATTCAATTTAGCATTGCCTCCTAGAAATGCATATGCCCTAAGACATTATCAAACATTTTTTTAAAAATTAAACATTTGAGCATTAAGAACATGTAATTATACAGGGGAGAGTGTATTGGTGCACACCTGTAATCCTAACTAGGTGGGAACCGTAGGTGGATCGAAGATAGTGGTCCAAGGCCAGCACTGAGCAAAAGCTAAAGACGCTATATAAAAACTACTTAAAGCAAAAAGGCTGGGGACATAGCACGAATGGTAGAGTGCTTGCCTGGCATGTACAAGGCCCTTAGTTCAAACACCAGTACCACCAGAAAAGAAAAAGAAAAATCCATAGAATTATTAAATCACATTCTTGACTAGGGTTTGCTTTATGCTAATTTTTTTCTCAAAAGTCAAAGCTTATAGAAAGCCTTACAGAAATTGAGAAGTTGTTTTGTTTTGGAATTTTTTTTATTCTTTTATTATTCATATGTGCATACAAGGCTTGGGTCCTTTCTCCCTCCTGCCCCCACCCCCTCCCTTACCACCCACTCCACCCCTTCCCTCTCCCTCCACCCCCTCCCTCTCCCCCCACCCCCTCAATACCCATCAGAAACTATTTTGCCCATATCTCTAATTTTGTTGAAGAGAGAGTATAAGCAATAATAGGAAGGAACAAGGGTTTTTGCTAGTTGAGATAAGGATAGCTATACAGGGAGTTGACTCACATTAATTTCCTGTGCGTGTGTGTTACCTTCTAGGTTAATTCTTCTTGATCTAACCTTTTCTCTAGTTCCTGGTCCCCTTCTCCTATTGGCCTCAGTTGCTTTTAAGGTATCTGCTTTAGTTTCTCTGCATTAAGGGCAACAAATGCTAGCTAATTTTTTAGGTGTCTTACCTATCCTCATATCTCCCTTGTGTGCTCTCGCTTTTATCATGTGCTCAAAGTCCAATCCCCTTGTTGTGTTTGCCCTTGATCTAATGTTCACATATGAGGGAGAACATAGGATTTTTGGTCTTTTGGGCCAGGCTAACCTCACTCAGAATGATGTTCTCCAATTCCATCCATTTACCAGCGAATGATAACATTTCGTTCTTCTTCATGGCTGCATAAAATTCCATTGTGTATAGATACCACATTTTCTTAATCCATTCGTCAGTGGGGGCATCTTGGCTGTTTCCATAACTTGGCTATTGTGAATAGTGCTGCAATAAACATGGGTGTGCAGGTGCCTCTGGAGTAACCTGTGTCACAGTCTTTTGGGTATATCCCCAAGAGTGGTATTGCTGGATCAAATGGTAGATCATGTTAGCTTTTTAAGTAGCCTCCAAATTTTTTTCCAGAGTGGTTGTACTAGTTTACATTCCCACCAACAGTGTAAGAGGGTTCCTTTTTCCCCGCATCCTCGCCAACACCTGTTGTTGTGGTGTTGCTAATGATGGCTATTCTAACAGGGGTGAGGTGGAATCTTAGTGTGGTTTTAATTTGCATTTCCTTTATTGCTAGAGATGGTGAGCATTTTTTCATGTGTTTTTTGGCCATTTGAATTTCTTCTTTTGAGAAAGTTCTGTTTAGTTCACTTGCCCATTTCTTTATTGGTTCATTAGTTTTGGGAGAATTTAGTTTTTTAAGTTCCCTATATATTCTGGTTATCAGTCCTTTGTCTGATGTGTAGCTGGCAAATATTTTCTCCCACTCTGTGGGTGTTCTCTTCAGTTTAGAGACCATTTCTTTTGATGAACAGAAGCTTTTTAGTTTTATGAGGTCCCATTTATCTATGCTATCTCTTAGTTGCTGTGCTGCTGGGGTTTCATTGAGAAAGTTCTTACCTATACCTACTAACTCCAGAGTATTTCCTACTCTTTCCTGTATCAACTTTAGAGTTTGGGGTCTGATATTAAGATCCTTGATCCATTTTGAGTTAATATTGGTATAGGGTGATATACATGGATCTAGTTTCAGTTTTTTGCAGACTGCTAACCAGTTTTCCCAGCAGTTTTTGTTGAAGAGGCTGCTATTTCTCCATCGTATATTTTTAGCTCCTTTGTCAAAGACAAGTTGGTTATAATTGTGTGGCTTCATATCTGGGTCCTCTATTCTGTTCCACTGGTCTTCATGTCTGTTTTTGTGCCAGTACCATGCTGTTTTTATTGTTATTGCTTTGTAATATAGTTTGAAGTCAGGTATTGTGATACCTCCTGCATTGTTCTTTTGACTGAGTATTGCCTTGGCTATTCGTGGCCTCTTGTGTTTCCATATAAATTTAACAGTAGATTTTTCAATCTCTTTAATGAATGTCATTGGAATTTTGATGGGAATTGCATTAAACATGTAGATTACTTTTGGGAGTATAGACATTTTTACTATGTTGATTCTACCAATCCATGAGCATGGGAGATCTCTCCACTTTCTATAGTCTTCCTCAATCTCTTTCTTCAGAAGTGTATAGTTTTCCTTGTAGAGGTCTTTCACATCTTTTGTTAGGTTTACACCTAGGTATTTGATTTTTTTGAGGCTATTGTAAATGGAATTGTTTTCATACATTCTTTTTCAGTTTGCTCATTGTTAGTGTATAGAAATGCTAATGATTTTTCTATGTTGATTTTATATCCTGCTACCTTGCTGTAGCTATTGATGATGTCTAGAAGCTTCTGAGTAGAGTTTTTTGGGTCTTTAAGGTATAGGATCATGTCATCTGCAAATAGGGATATTTTGACAGTTTCTTTACCTATTTATATTCCTTTTATTCCTTCTTCTTGCCTAATTGCTTTGGCTAGGAATTCCAGTACCATGTTGAATAGGAGTGGGGATAGTGGGCATCCTTATCTGGTTCCTGATTTTAGAGGGAATGGTTTCAGTTTTTCTCCGTTAAGTATGATGCTGGCTGTAGGTTTGTCATATATAGCTTTTATAATGTTGAGGTACTTTCCTTCTATTCCTAGTTTTCTTAGAGCTTTTATCATGAAATGATGTTGGATCTTATCAAAGGCTTTTTCTGCATCTATTGAGATGATCAAGTGGTTTTTGTCTTTGCTTCTGTTAATGTGGTTTATTATGTTTATTGATTTTCATATGTTGAACCACTCCTGCATTCCTGGGATGAAGTCTACTTGGCCGTGGTGAATAATCTTTTTGACGTGTTCAGAAATTGAGAAGTTTTAAAGAGGACTTTTAAAGGAAGGACAGTGCGTGTGAGAAAAGTCACCTAACAGTTGAAAAGAAGCAAGAGAGATCTCTGGTTATTCTTCAGTTCAGTGCTTACTTTGCACTATGATTGCTTTCCTCCTAACTGGGCTACTTTACGCCAACTACTCTGCAGGGGCAGAGATTAACTTGAAAATTTTGTCCCAGCAGAGATGCAAATTATTTCTGTCCAATGGAAAAGATAATCCCAAAGATGATGGTTTATGACATTAACTAGCTAAAATTCCTTTATGAAATAGTCCATAAATACCTAGCTCCTTGAATACACTTTGAGCCAGTTTTAATATCTAACTGCATGCCACATTAATTAATGAGTTGAATAAAACCTTTAAAATGTTTATTTTAAATTTATATGAGAAATTTTATCTTAACTTTTAAAAAATTGTACTCTAACAACTTAGAAGTGTTATGCAAATAGAAGATGTTGCTATTTTTCATTTGCAGGATGTATAATAGTTTTAATGCCTTTATTGATAAATAGATTATAGTTATATAAGTAGGGTGATAGTGTGTTGAGTAATGAAAATTAAAGCAGGAATGCATGTGGTACACCTGTAATCTTAGCACTGGAGAGGCTGAGGCAGGAGAATCATGATTTCAAAACCAGCCTGGCCTACATAGTGAGCTCAAGGCTAGCTGTGCTACATAGTGAGATCCTATCTCAAAAAATATGGAAAGATGGATGGGAGGGAGGGAAAGAAAAGAAAAACATTGAAAAAAATTTTGAAAAAAAATTCAAACTGAGTATCATGTTCCCTTGATACAACCCTATAGCTCTCAGCTTCTGCCTTTTTGCT